TGACTAACCCAGACTTTATTTCTTACAGATAACTTTCTGCCTGTGTTTTCAGGTGATATCACAGCAGGAACAAGATGCAAATTGGGATGGAAATGGTAGCTGCATGGTAGAGCTTAAATACTCGGGACGGATTTGCTTCATGTTTTGCAGCTGCCCAGCTCCCTGCCTGCATGCAAACCTCCCTGTGTTCAGGGCTGGTTCAGCCTTTGCTCGGCCTCTGCGCGGGCAGCACTGGCGAGCGGAGGCAGGAGGCAGCTCCGCATGAGCTGGGTGATGCTGATGAGTCTCCCCTTCGCCCTTCCTCTCCTGCCACCAAATCTGCCCTTTCTCGGCCCCCGCTGGGAGGCTGCAGCAGCAGGGCTGGCAGGTGGAAAAACACAGGGCAGAGAAGGCAGCGAGCAGGGAAGCATGTTTCCACCAGCAGGACAGCTCTCGAAGGGCTGGGATGGTCTGCCAGGGTGGCAAAGCGCAAGGGTGACCGAAACCACAGAGCAGCGAGGATGCCCCCGCTCACTGCAGCTTGCGTTTGAGCCTGTCGGAGCCGCGGGGAAAGCAAGGGCAGAGGGAAGCTGCTTTCAGCTCTGAGTAGAGCTGTCGTCTTGGCAAAGCTCTCGCTCAGTTTGCTTGTTTGCTTGGCAGTCACTCTTCATGATGAACTGGTGCGTGGAGAAGCAGAAGGGAAAGAACAGGATCCTAGCCCTCCTCCTCCCTGAGCCACCCCTCCTGGTTTTACCAGCCAGTCAGCCTGCCTCCAGCCCTGCTGTGCTTTTTGAGTGCCCTAACGTTATTACTATGACACGGATAATTATTAAGACATTAATAGTCACCGTTAGCAGTATTTTCCTCGGTGTCAGCATAGCTTGAGCGGTCACTTGAGGTTAATGAAAAAGCCTGGCCGGGCCCTTTGAAATAAAGCCCCCCCAAGTAACTTTTCATTGTGTTCCCCAGGGATAGCTGAGCATGTCATGTAAGTCTCCAAGTTGTTAACATAATTTGAATCACGCTGTTTAGTGCAATGACAGAATTACTGAGTGAGCTCTGGGGTCACTGTTCGTGTGGGTCAGAAGAGATGATCTTCAAGGCCCTTCCTGGCCTGACAGCCTATTAATCTAGGAACAGTTCCTCCAGCGGGGCAGGAACTAATTCATTTAGGCCCTACAGAGCTATACGAGCTCTTTAGGGTAATCGTAATTTTAAAAAAATGCTCATTTTTTAACCAAGAAAAAGCAAGCATATTCAACTCTGACCTGATTTTCTCAGTGAAAAAGCACTGTAGCTATACCATGCCTCTGCTGGGCAAAAATCTGTATTTCCTAAGACGAGACTTACAGAGACCCGTCTTCTCATGACCCTCTTGAATTTCAATTGTGATTTTCTCTTGTGAAAATGGTATTCTCAGGAAGCCTATTTCCAGAACATTGTCTGGTTCATTAGACAGCATTCGCCTCTGTTAGTCATTGCCTAACCTTCACTTTTCTTCTTCAATCCATAAAAGAAAAGGTTATGCAATTCTTATTGCTAACACTTAACTTTTCACTTGATCCATGAATGAATTATTGGAAAAGTTTGTAATGAAGAGAAGCAGCACATTGAATAAAGTTGCTAAGGAAAAAAGGAGAAAAATGTTCGCGTCATTATTTTATCTAGGCTGAGTCTTCAGCGTCTGAGAATCAGATCACCCTCTAGAAGCTCCTGCTGCTGCTGTGTGCCATGAGAAATGATTTCGCAGGTAGTGAGCAGCAAGCCTTACCAGGCCCTCCACAGCGGTGAGACCAGAGAGTCTGGCAAAAAGCACACAAAATGCTGCCAGCAAGGACGGCAAGAGTAATACGGCTGTACTCTAAACTGAATTCTGATTAAGAATCATTCAAGAGTTTTTGATAATAAAATGATGATATTGCATGCTGGTTTTAGCTTATGTCTGAGTTACTTTGCTTAAGAAAAAGAAACAGCCTTGAAATTGGACGTTAATTTATATTGCTAAGGTTGCTAACAAGGACTCACCGTGGCATATTTTAAAGTTCAAAGTAGACTGGTATCATAAAAAGGCACCTATAATCCCTCAGAATAGAGGCTTCACCTTTTGCATCAAGAAAGAGAATGGCAGTGGAGAAGAATTTGCACAGCAGCACATTTTCAAACACATCTAAATACGAGCTGCTAATATTCCAGGCCTTAAAGAGTGTAACCTGAAGACACCTTAACCTGTTCAGCGTGGTGCCTCCATTAGGATGCAAACTGAGAAAAGAAGTATTGTGTAATGATCCGCTCTAATATTTACCCGTTTGGTAGTGTCTCCAACAGAGCCAACCTACGCTTGAACAATGAAGAAACATCGGCCACTGTGTTGCACAAAGGATACTGGGACAAGCTCACATGCAAAAACCTTTATTTACAGGGTCCGTCACCGATGGTCCATCATTGAATGTAACGGTAAAAGCTGTTTTGGGGGAAAAGGAGGGGGGGAGGGGAAGAAGGTGGAGAAAAAAGAAGAAAGCACTCCCCCGTGGTCACTCCCCCATAATACTTTTCCCACAGTAACTATACAGTTTTTCTACCCAGACCTGCTCAGACTCACCCAGGTTGTTCCCACGTAGGAGGCTGCTGGCCCTGTCAGGAGCATGTCTTGACCAGGCAGGAGCTGGGAGGGAAGGCAGGCTGCAGGGCTGCAGGGGACGGCTCTTAGTAATAAAAAAAGGCTAAGGGAGCGTGCAACATTTACGTTTTTACAGAGGCTGTGCTATGTGCATACGGTATTTCCCAGGAGTAGACTTTCATGCTTACAATACCACTAAGGATGTTAGTAAGGCAAGGCATGAAGGGAGAAGTAATATTTTCTATTAGATCAACTGACAGAAATCAGACCCTGAAGAAGCACTTGTTTGACAAAAGCTCATCTGTCTTTTTCCCAGTTATGTCAGCCAACCTAATAAAACCCCAAAGTTTCCTTCTCTTATACAGCTTATCTCACAGAATCACTTGGCATTGCACGCAAGAACCCAAAATTGGGCAGAACTCAGGCCCGTCAACCTAAAACAGCTTCTCAGAGCAGCTACTATCCAGATCTGAGAAGCCTCTGAATCATTGCAGCTGGTTCAGTTCCAGGTCATGGACTTCTTCCATGGCCTGAGGATCCATATTTGCTCAGATCATGCCCTGCTCCCCAGGCCTACGGACTCCGCCTTGCTCAGAGCCAGGCTGAAGGGCCAGACTGTTGGCCATGGTCTGACCACAGCCAGCACTGAGGCCACACCAAGACATTCCTGGTGGTGCCGTCCAGGCCCAGATGCCTGGCAAAAGTCCACTAACACAGGAAGCCTGACTTTTAGGTCCGTTTCTGGCTGAAGAAACCAAATTAACCATTCATAGGCAACTTAGTTGACAGGCAAGTCCTGGGCAAGTCTCCATCCCCGCATGTTGAAATAGGGTCACTGAGCAGAAAGGAAAGCAAAGGTAACACTGCCAAAGATGAGAGGAAAAGAAAAACAGAAAGTTTGGCTGCTCGTCAAGGTCAAGAGAGGTCTGTGTTTTAGGGGCTGGTTGTGCATCAAATTACTCAATAAAAGGCATTAATGTTTGAGGAACAAGGGCAAGAAGCAGAACCTTCCCTCGTCCTCCATGCTTCAGGGTAGTTTGCTGCTTATGTTAATCCTTTAATAAAATTGCTGTTGCAAGACTGCTGGGACAGCTAACGTAGTCACACTGATAGCTCCAGGTCTCCAACCGGAATTTCTTCTGATTGGGAAACAGTAAAAACAAAGTGGGGCTTTTGGCTGCCCCCAAGGTATTCCAGCCAGGCAAGGGTGCTGCCAACGCTAGCAGGTTTCCCATGCCTTGCCGAGTCATACCCCAGCCTGGATATACACGGAATAAGGAGCTGGTGTTAAGTGCCTGCCATGCAGGGGCTAAAAGCCTGCCTAGGATGCTGTCCCTCAACTGTGCATAACCTCTGCTTTACAAGACCTCCAGCTCGGCTGAGGAGCTCCCAGGGTCAAGGGGAAGCAAAATGGCTTTCCAGATGTTCATCGTCACTGGAGGTGCTTGAGCCAGCTCAATCAAGGCCAGGGTGAAACCTTGATAGAAATGAACAGGATCTTTCCCGTCCTGCTCGGAAACGTACATGTCTTGGTGCTACTAAAGGTGCCCTGCAAGAGAAACAGGAGCAGCATTGTACCCAGTGTCTCAGCAGCTCACAAAGACTCTGAAATTAAGCAGTGTGTTAGAAACCCCTTCACCCCCTCCCCTTCCCTTTAGCTGCTCCAAACTCATGGTCCCACCACCCAGCAGATCCTGCTCAGGCAGATCCTGCCGCTCTCCTCAGCCCTCAGCCTGATGGAGTGCTGATGTTCCAGCCAGGAGGAAAAGGAGATGAAATATATTCGCTTACCTTTGGAAGGCATTTTAAGTGCTACCATCCTGAATGAATAAAGTGCTACTCAATATCTGCATATTAATTATTCATTATTTTCATTAAGGAACACTGAGGCATACTATAGCTGCGTAGATGAAAGAAATCAGTGTTGTTCTCCCTCTCCCCGCGCTTCCTCACACCTTTTCACTTTGAGATTATTCTAAACCTGTACACACTCGGATTAGAGAAATGTCTGGTTTTTTATTAGCAATAAAACTTTACATTTTTTTTCCGACTGAGTATTCATAGATTTATGGATCCATAATCATTCACGTCACAGACTGAGGGAGATGAGGCTGGAACAGGATAATATCCTCTAAATCCCCTTCTCTAAGCACTCAGATCTTCCCTGTCAGCAAGATTAAAACAGTCAACAGCAGTCTTCATGTGTCTATATCTCACACTGAGCTTTCACAACTGGAGTGGTGGCTGGCAGGGAGAAAAAATGCAGAAGTGCTGCTGTGCTTGATACTACTGAGAGAGAGAGAGAAGGAAGCAGAACTGTCAGGCTTTGTGGTTTTGCAAAGGACTGGTGCTAATTTCTCAGTCAGGTGAATGCAAAGAAAGGAAAAGAGTAAAGAAAAATATTATGCTGCAGTTTAACCAGAGGGGGCAGTTTCTCTTCCCAAAACATAAAGTAAGAGAGAGAGAAGCATCAAATGCTCTCCAACCGTCCGACAAGGGGAAGGAAAACGAAAGCATGCATTTAGACAAGCAGAGTGGCTTTTCTGCTGCTGCTCCATTGACCTCCCAGTCCCTACTGCTCCTGGGACCTGAGGGGAATTACAACTATTACGTGGATGATGAAGATGAGGAAGAGGAAGAACAAGAAAAATGGCCAAATGGAGATTCATTTGAGGGAGAAAACAAGCTCTCTTCATCCATTCCTTGCTCCCCTTCCCCTTCTGCTGGAGCCCTGGCCATGGCTTCCACCTCGTCGGTGCTGAACATTAACGTCGGCGGCCAAAGCTACCACCTCACCTACCAGGCGGTGGCCATCTACCCCAAGACCCGCCTGGGCCGGTTGGGGACCTCC